GCGCCACCATGCCCAGCTAATTTTTTGTAGTTTTAGTAGAGACGGGATTTCACCATGTTGACCAGGATGGTCTCGATCTCTTGACCTCGTGATCCACCCGCTTCGGCCTCCCAAAGTGCTGGCATTACAGGCGTGAGCCACCGCACCCGGCCTAGATTTTCTTATATATACTATATGTGTGTGTGTATGTGTATAATTTTTTTTTTTTGAGACATAATCTTGCTCTATCACCCAGGCTGGAGTGGAGTGGCACAATTGCGACTCACTACAACCTCTGCCCCCCATGCTCAAGTGATCCTCTTACTTCAGCCTCCTGAGTAGCTGTGACCATAGGCATGTGCCACTACATCTGGCCAATTTTTGTATTTTTTGTAGAGACAGGGTTTTGCCATGTTGCCCAGGCTGATCCTGAACTCATGGGCTCAAGTACTCCACCCACCGTGGCCTCCTGAAGTGCTGAGATTGCAGGCATGAGTCACCGGGCCTGACCCTGTGTATATTTCTTTCTTTCCTTTTTTTTTTGAGATGGAATTTCACTCTGTCACCCAGGCTGGAGTGCAGTGGTGTGATTTCAGCTCATTGCAACCTCCGCCTCCTGGGTTCAAGCGATTCTTCTGCCCCTCAGCCTCCTGAGTAGCTGGGAATACAGGCGTGCACCACCACACCTGGCTATTTTTTGTATTTTTAGTAGAGATGGGGTTTTCCCATGTTGCCCAGGCTGGTCTTGAATTCCTGAGCTCAAGTAATATACCTGCCTCGGCCTCCCAAATTACAGGCATGAGCCACTTCACCCAGCCCCTATGTATATTTCTTTCTTCCTTTTTTTTTTTTGGACAGGGTCTTACTCTGTTGTCCAGGCTGAAATACAGTGGCGCCATTTTGGCTCACTGCAACCTCCACCTCCTGGACTCAAGCAATCCTCCTACCTCAGCCTCCTGGGTAGCTGGGAATATAGGCACACATCACTCTGCCCAGCTGATTTTTGTATTTTTTAGTAGAGACAGGGTTTCACCATGTTGGCTAGGCTGGTCTTGAACCCCTGACCTCAAGTGATCTGCCCAACTTGGCCTCCTGAAGTGCTGAGATTACAGGCATGAGCCTCTGCTCCTGGCTCTATGCATATTTCTATAGTCCTCTCATCCAGCTGTATTATATTTTGCCCTCATGGTTTTCATGGGTTCCAGGCTGGTCTCTGATGGAACCCAGAAATCTCTTCGTAAGACTGAAAAATAAGGCAAGAACTATGTTATCTCTCCTTTTGAATCCCCTGAGGCCCCAAAAGCACTATCTTACATGTAAAAAGTGTTGAGGACACATCTGCTGATGGGTTGACTGATTAGAACTCCAATCTGCAGTCACTGGTGGATTATGCTTCCCTGCTCAGACACTGGAGCTTAGAGAACAAGAAGTGGGTTTGGAATCAGAAAAATCTTGACTCTGCCACTTATTACCTGTGTGACCGCAGGCAAGTTAAGCTCTCCGTGACTTTTCCCGATTTGGTAAAGTGGGAACAATTAGTGGTATTACCTGTCCAGTGGGGTTGTGGTGAGACCATGTGCTTAGCATGTGCTAGCCAAGAGTTAGCTATGATTGTCGTTAAGAGGCTTAGAGAGTGTCTGGCAAATGTTCAGCATGTAGTAGGTGCTTAGCACGTGGGAATGTGTTATTAGATGTGTTGTTTCCCCATTACCCTGGAACACAGGCAGATCTTTCCAGAGAAGCCTATTTGCTTTTTTGGTTTGCATTTACTCAGCCCTGAAGTAATGGTTGTTTACTGGACTATCCAGACCACAAGGTTTCCAGAACCCTCTTTCCAACTGTCCTTAAAGCCAGATGACATACGCTGATGGTCCTCATATCTGCCTCTGCCTGACACATCCTCATCATCCTCCCAGTCCCATTCAATACAATTTAATTCAATGAGCATTTATAGGGTGCTACTATACGCCACCGCCCTGACCCTGGGGTCCAGAGAGAAGCAGCTTGTTCCTAGGAGACTCCCAACGTATTCCCATTTAACCTGGTACCTCCACCTTTCTTCACAGTTAAGGCCCAGGGGGAGCTAAAGGGAATGGCTGCAGCTATGCTCCTTTGGTGACCCGGGATGAGTCCAAGGATGAGGGCAAGGGTGCCCTCCTACAGCATCAGTTTCTTCTCTGTACAAAGAAGAGGGTGATTTTGATCCTCTTGCAAGCATCCCCTCTTACAAAAGTGCCAATTTAGAAAATAATTAACATATTTATGGGAAACATGAGTTAAATGAACCATTAGCTATATTGAGTCTTACGGAACAGGAGTGGCAGGTGAGTGGAATACCTTGAAAACCAGAAAGTAATCTACAAATATTTAGTTTCCAGCCGTCACTAGGGTGGCTATTGGATGAAGTACATAACGTGACTTTGCCATCAGGTTAGGCTACCATCTGCAATCACTCTGGGGGAGTGTGGGACAGTGGAGCTTAATATATTGCTAGGAGTCCATTTTCCCTGAGTC